AGAGAGAGAGAGAGAGAGAGAGAGAGAGAGAGGAGAGAAGAGAGAAGAGAGAAGATGGAAGAAAAAGAACGGAAAAAAAAGAGAGGAGGGATGAGAGAAGGAAAAGAAAGAAAAAAAAAAGAGGGAGAGAAGAGAGAAGGAAAACAACCGAAAAAAAGAGAGATAGAGAGGAGAGAAGAAAAAGAATAAAAAAAGGAGAGAGGGGAAAAGAATAAAAAAATGGAAAGAGATGAGAGAGATGAGAGTTTAAGTAATATGTTTTTTAACAAAAATTTGGGCTGGGCAAAAGAGAAGAGAGGAGAGAGAAAAGTGTGGGTAATATTTATTTAACATAAATTTGGGCCGGGCATGAGCCCAACCTGCCACAGGCTGGAACCGCCACTGATCAGAACCAACAAAACAAACAAGTGTTGTCAAGATAGCAACATGAAAACCAGAAATATCCCTTCTACATTACATGACTACGACATTCCAATCTAAATAAATAAAAGGTTAAAATTGTAGTAATGATCCCTGAACTAAGATCCGACTTTGCTTTTCTTCCTTCAAAAATAGCTACAATCATCCTCCAATCACCACTCATCCCTTTTGTCCATTCTGTTTTTTTTTTTGTCAAAATTAATCACATGTGATGCACGTGACCTTTTTTTTAAGGGCAAATAAAACTTTTACCAAGCCACCACCCCCTTGTACCCAAACCACCTCTCAACCTAACCATGCACTGCCCCCTCCCCACAATCACCCAACCCTTCTTCTTCCCCTTCTATAATTCAATTCAAAATCAAACCCATCAAAACTCTCTATGTCTAATCACACGCAGACGCATAGCTTTTCTAGTTTGATTTCATCTATTTGTACCATAAAGCAAAAGAGCACATCATTATATGCAAAAATAAATAAATAAATATTTTTTTTCTGTGTGTGTGAAATTCAGTACCTTTTTAAAGGTCAAGCAAGAATAACATAAAACGAAGGCTCTACAGAGCAAGACCATCAGTAACCCACACAGCCTTTTCCTTCTCCCCAATTGCTCGAATTGAAAATGGCTCAAATTCTCAGAGACAGAGTATTTGGTAATTCAAAGAGACACATCCAACGCCTTAATCCAATCCAAACCACCATAACCGTTTACCCAATTGAAGGTCTTTAAATGAGGGAGGGGGTAGGGTTAGGGGTAGTGGCAGTGGTGTAGTTACTGGGTGGAGGCCAGGGTTGGATGGTTGAGTCACCATAAGAACAGCATTTGTTGGTAAAATATAAAGATAATTGCTATATTTACAGAATTTCAAAAATAAAACTTCACTATAAATTCGAAATAAATACAAGAAAATAACGACAAGGAAATTAAGAATATTTTACAAATGATCGAGTCCAGAACTTGGTTCTATCTCTTTAAGACGAAATTGCCTCCTCACAGGTGCTTTTAAGATTTGCTTGGCAAACGTCTCCCTAGATACATCGATCGACTTCTTGTTGAAGTAGCACTCCAATCCCCAAGAAAAGCGAACTCAAACTTGTGTATGAACTCTCTCTTACTAACTCACTATATTTCTAAAAATACAATGCCATGAATGTTCTAAAAACTACTATTGTTGGATGACAATTAGATGAATGAAATGTTATAGGACCTTCTCTATTTATAGGCAACAAGGGCTCTGTTTATAAAATATGTGACAGAAAAATATCAACAAATGTGTCTTTTCCTATTACAACCGTAAGTTACCTTCTTTCGAAGAGGAACCTTTTCTTTTCTGTCAGACTCAGACTTCAAATAGAGATGCAACTCTTTATTCTGAAATGTCCAGGAAGTGCAATGTTTCAATTACCATGAAATAATGCAACTTTTCACATAAATTATTATTATTTTATTCACAAACAACAAAATAAATATTATTTTATTTTTTCTCTGTTAAAAACATGACTATTCCCAATTTATACATACCAATTCGTAAAAGTCATGTACTTAAAGTCACAGGTCCCACAATTTAATGGGTGTTTGTGCTTCAAAGGCCAACAAGCAAGCACGGAGTTCAATGAAGATGGGAAGGGGAGGAAAGTTGAGGAGACCAGTTACAAGCATCTTTTAGTCTGGACCTTGGCCATGAAGGACAACAATGACAAGGTCTTTATTGGATATGGGTTCGTTGATGGCAGCCAAGGTATCGGCAAGAGATTTGGCATGGCGAAGGTATTCATCAATAGACTGGAAGCCTTTTTGCATATCTATGAGTTGAAAACAGAGAGTGGTCTCACTGGAAATAGAGGACTGAGAAAAATGGCGTTGGAGACAATCCCAAATATCACGAACATAGTCACAATCGATGATGAGATAAAGGATAGATTCAGTAAGTGTGCTAGTGATATAGCTGACAATAAGTTAGTTTTGTTAATACCACATGTCATATTCGGGGTTAGATTTGAGAATAGGAGCAATGGTGGTAGTTTCTTGATCAGTGGTGGAAAAGGAGACAGTGGCGGGGGGCTAAGGATTAGAGCCATCAATAAATTTCCAGAGACCATGGTCAACAAGGAAGGGTTTATTTGACGGAACTAGATAAGATAGTTGGAGTCGAAGAGTTTGATGAAGTGAGAGGAGTTGGGGCTAGGAATAGACGACAGGGAGGAGGAGGAAGATGAATAAGACGCCATAGGGATAGGACAAGGAGAGAGAGCGAAGAAGAAGGACAAGATGGTAGGAATAAAGTCCTAGGCTCAAGCTGATACCATGTAGAAAATGTATTTCCTCTTGTATTAATCAATTGTATATAGTACATACTTATATGGGTACAATAGGTCTAAAGGGATTTGCCAACATTACAATCGTGTATTATAGGAAACTAATTACTAGGAGGAGAGTCTGGGATTGATAGGATTGCTTGTAGTACAAGGAGAGGATCACATACATGATCGTTGACAAGAGAGCGGAGAGACTGGTTTTATTTTTATTTTATAAATGAGTCTACTTATCTAGTAAATGAATTTCCCAATTTGCCCTTAATTTTGATAGAAAATTTAACCAAATTGACAAAAATACAAAAGATGTAACAAAATATCTAATTGAAGAACAACCATAATAATTTTTAGAGTTGAAGGACAAAAAGTAAAGTTGGGTCTTAGTTAAGGTACTATTGCCACATTTTAGCATAAATAAAATGAAAGCTGATCTCCCTAAATTTTGATGAAGTAGAAGTCCACAACGACGCCCAGAAACAAATTTGATCCCATAACTGCTCAACCTTGTCCCCTTTAATATCCTGAAAATCACTTCTATTTCTCTACCCCCCAAATCACCCAAAAGACCAATAATCTTCTATGGAGGATCACTTCTTCATATAATTACTTAAAGTAACTGCTCAACCTTGTCCCCTTTAATATCCTGAAAATCACTTCTATTTCTCTACCCCCAAAATCACCCAAAAGACCAATAATCTTCCATGGAGAATCACTTCTCCTTATAATTACTTAAAGTGATTCTGGGGAGAAGCAGAGCGTGGTAGATCCTTCTCCCCAAAAATAATTATGGCCCTTCCAAAATCACTTCCAAATGCACCTTAATTATCTAATGGATGTACTTTCAAGTTAAAAAAAAAAAATACAAAATAAACACAAAAAAGGCAAGGTCAGTTGGGCATGCCAGTGAGCCCCGGCTTGCACCCAAGTTCGAATTCCCCCCCCC